TAAAACTACCAGACCACGTGTCTCGGTTTGCGACGTTGCAGATTTCCTTTATTTTTATTTTATTTACTTTATTTTTTAATTTGGCAATCAATAAACGTGAATTCTTGTAAACTTCCGTTATTTTTATTCTCTGTGAGAATCAAATGTTGTGAAACCTTCAAGATATTGAGGATGTTGATTTATTCTCCTTAAAAAATGAAATGGGGGCGGAGATTTTCAAAGACCGCAAACGGGGCGCATTCTCACTCGCGTGCTGACCCTTGTGCGTCCATCAATTCTACCGACCACCGACACAGCTTTCTAGTGACGATTTTTCCGTTTTTCATTGTTGTTTTTGTTCAATGCAGCTTGGTGCGTGCAATTTGCAGAGATGCTGACGCAAACACAGTCGCGCCCACGTGTGGTTCGATGATTTACATGCAAATCGTTTTAAGAACTTTTTTTTTTTAGATTTGCTTCGTCATTTCAGGAAGGTATAATTGTGCGATAATAATTACACAATAATTACGGACTAATTCATAAAACGCACGATAATTTCATAATTTACGGAAAATATTTAGTTATCTTCGTAGCAGAGATATAAGTCGAAGCCGAAATAGTAACTTTTGAGGCGATTGGTAGTCAGAAATACGTCTCAATGATTAATCGAGGAAATGATTTTGGAAAGTCTTGATATCATGTAGGTCGAAAATTATGGGAGCATTATTTCAACATCCTATTCATTCGATCCATTCCAATCCAACAGTTGGAGGCAGGACTGTCGTGCAAAATTGAATAAGTCTTGTTCCGTCACAGTATTCACATCTGTTGCGGCCAATATTCACTGAAAATCTCTTGAGAGGAAATGCTTCGGCTTCAACCACGTTTTAGCCGTTATGATTCGCCCAGTCACCACTGAAAGCGTAATTCTGGGAGTCCACATACTGTTTACTCCATCTGCCATGTCTCTTGATTGTTTATTCAAGTCGGCCGACAACAGGCAAGTGTACCAACCGATTTGTACTACACTGTGCCATGCATCTAAGTCCCTTCCCATCCTTCTCGTGGTTCAAAAATATTAATAGCGATTGTTGGATCAATTAAAACGGAGAGTAATCGATATACCTATAGGAAAGATACTGTATTTGGCAGATTAATTTATTTTGACTATAAGTTCCCTTATTAATATTTGCCCCTAAGGGAAAAAGAGCGAAAAAGAAAACAAAAAAATCTTAGAAATGGCAAATGTAGTGGGGAGTCTTATTCATCTGTCCACATCCTGTTTCTATCAGGGTCTTCTCTCTTGGGATTTTTTCTTTGTATACATACATTAAGCCGCTTTCACAGCGCAGCGTCGCGCTCTGCGACGCCAAATCGCCATTGCTCCCATACAACATATATTCATTGAGAAATTTTAAGGCGCGCCTCATTGAACACACTTATACTAGGCCCGTCTCTATACAGGTGCAGTTAGAAAATGTGTTTTGCTATCCGAAGAGTGCGCAGACAATAATCAGAGGTCAGTTGAAGCATCAAGAGGGATTACTCATTTCCAGTAAAATTCAGTAACTCGTTGAAGTTTTCCTGAGAAGGACACATCCAGTTTTTATTATTTTCTTTTGCAAATTTTCCTTGCACTTAGTGCACTACAATACGACTATTGAAACGTTTGAAATGAAGATTTAAATTGCGCCAGAAAACCTCCGAACACACACACACACACAAAACAAAGTACGTACCAATACTGAAGCTTATTTGTCAGGTCCATCAGGGGCTGCAGTCCTGAATTCCGACCATAGATATCCTTCACACGGGAAATAACTGGCGATTAGTAACGAAAACTAATGCACTGCTCCCGGTTTAAATTGCATCAGAGCTGAGCATTGCACTGATCGCTACGTATCAACGACTTCAATTTTTTTTAAAAATACACGCGTGAAGTAATTGATTCTTTCAATCCACCGGAGCTCTAACTTATCGATTTTTTTTTTCTTTGAAAAACGGGAGGAAAAAGAAAAAAAGAAGTTGAGCCCTAAGTAACTATAACATAGTGCAACCAGGTGTAAACAGCGCCTGAATTCAATTTGTATTGAGTGCGTTCACGTTTTGAGGAATTATTCTTTTGAAAAATGTAGAAACGAAAGCAATCGGGCAGCCTGGTCGCAATTACACGAGATGAGTAAAACTAAGTAAAAACAGGAGCACAAACGACGGTCATTACTCGGTGCATTGGACGTCGCGGGAGAGGTTATGGCGATCCAGACGTAAACAACACGATGCCTCAATAGTGAAGGCTGAAACTTTGGCGCACCTGACTCGGTCGTACACTCGAAAAACGTTTGTTAAAGCACTCGAGAAGGCCAAAACAATGCAAAAAACTGTCGATTAGACACGTTTAAAAAGCGTTGGAATTGGCCATTCGTGACGGAGGCGACGGAACTCGCGGTGAGATTGAGAGGAGCGCAGGAGATGGGGGCGGTGTGCGCACGCCCCAGCGCGCCACCCCAATCGATAGCGGGGTTTCCCGCTTTTCCATCGGTGCGGTCCGCCGAGGGGTGGGCGCAAGGCCGGGGTTGTTGTTAACCGCGACACTGACCTTCGACAACTGATCTGGGCGTCTGATCAGTGCTCGGATCCCGTTCTTCAAATACGTAACGTTCTGCACGGAGAAAAATTATTTTGCCGAGTTAACTTGCGGCTGGGGACACTGATTCAATTAACAACGATTCAAAAACTCGGACAGTGTTTTATTGTTTTCAGAAAAAAAGAAAAGAACAGATATAAAACGAATGGAAATATCGCGTCGATATTCTCCGTGATTTAACTGAAAACCATCGAGAAAATCCCAAGAAACTTTTCAGAAAACCTGTAAGTGGCTTTTCAAAAAGATGTCTTTAAAAATTGAACAGAAGTAAAGATGAGCAACTTTGCAATCGGAGATAAATACGCTTTTTCTCGCGTGAGCGGGTAAATATTCGAATTCATTTACGGCTGGCGCAACGACATAATTATTCGACCACGGGTGTACCCATGTTGCCGCTAGCCGGATTGAAGGCGCGTCACACTGCGCAGATGATTCGACCGCGTTTCCTTTACTTCCTTAACTTCCTTTCTTTCCTGGCCGGCGCGACACTACAATCGCCGCAAAATTGAGACTCCGCTCCGCCTCGTCATTCGTGACTTTCTGCCCCGTTTTTACAAAAATTGAAAGCAAATTATGTGTCTTGATCGCAACCATTCAAAAACTCAGATTGTATTTTATTTTTCAGTTAAAATTAGAAAATATAAGAAAAAAGAAGAAGAAACGGATGAAAATTTTGTAGGGAAATATTCTGTGATTTTGTTTGAAATTGTTTAGGTATATTCCTGGAAGCTTTTCAGATGCCAGTGTGTAGCTTTTAAAAGAAATTAATTTATAATCGAACATGAGAGGCGGTGTACAGCGTTACAATCTGAGATAATTACGGTCACTGTTTATGCCTATCAGCCCCGTTTTAATTATAATTTAGGAAAAAATATGCATCTTAATTGCATCGACTCAGAAACTTAGACCGTGTTTAATTTCTTTTAGTTTAAAAGAAAAAGATATGAAAAGAATTTTACGGGATGTCGACTACTTCATTTCAGATTTTTCATGTATTCCTTATTTTTCCTGGAATTTTAAATACAATTTTCTAGATTAAGACCGCGAATAAATTGACACTCGTTAGACCTCACGGGCCAAATTCTTTGGTGCATGGAATCAAGTGTTTTACTTTTGTGTAAGCTACACTGCATGTAGGTTTTGGAGTTTCCTGATCCGTGACCGATTTTCGTAATATTTTCCTGATGACATCAAAATAACGGGTGTTTTTCGTTTTTTTTTTCTGACAGGAGACACAGTAATCTTGGTTGTTAATCGGCCGACTTGAATCAAACTTGGTGTTAAGGGCTTTTTGGCACGAAGAGAAGGAATCTGACATCGGAATGCAAAAGTATTGCACTATTTTCAATATGGCAGCCTTAACAAGGCGGGAAGTTATCATCTCGGTTTCTTTAAAGAGCGAATCTAACGCCAAAATGCAAAAATATTGCACTATTTTCAAGATGAGGCGCTTTCCGCCATTTTAATGGCAGTCAGATTTAAAGTAGCACAATATTTTTGCATTTAATGTCAGATTCGTTCTTTCCGTGCCAAAAAACCCAGGCACTCCAAGTTTCATCCCAGTCGACCGGTTAACGACCAAGGTATCAATTTCTCGTCATTATGAACTTAAACTGGTCGTCATTATTAAACGGTGATATATGGCAACCTGCAGTTAGCCCCCCCCCCCATCGGGAATAACCAGGTAGACGTACGAGAGAGATGTAAAAACTTGTACCCAGAAATATCTGGAATAATCGCTGCAAACCGCGCTTCGATATCTCGATCGAGTACCATGTCACGATCGAATATAGATATAAAAATACCCTCAGAAATGAGTGATAATCGGGGACTTTGTTCCCTCCCTCAATATCGCGAAAACGGTTCGTATATTCAATCTCAAATTTCAGTGCACGTATAGGCAGTATGGGGTCATCCAAAGGATGAAAACAACCTCAAAGGGACCCCAATTAGAGGGGCCCAAAATCAGACAATTTTCATGGCTCTTCGTGTTTTTTTTCAAGCAAGCTTATTCATCTGAATATGGCGAAAATACACGCTTGCCAGCGGTTCTGTAAAATCATAAAAGCTATTCTCATCTTAATATCGCGGCAAATACGCAGTTTGGCCTAGCGGTTCGATAAAAACACAAAAGAGTACGTGTTCATAATCTGAGCATCACGGCATTCATAAGCGTCAGTAATCTTAGACAGGCAAAAGCCAAGATCTGCCTTCATTTTCGCATGATACCACGTATCTACTCCAGAGTTCGAATAGTTGCAAGCCTAGTTTCCACATTTAACTATAGGACCACAATTTTTCATTTAGATGAAAAGACAGTTGTTAGAGATTAACTCATCGTTTTGGAAATGCAAGAATGAATATTATGGATACATACCGATAAGCAGCTGGCGACATGCACTCCTGAAACAGAGAAAATAACATTCAAGGATAAAATAGGGCAGAAAAAGATCAGATCAATGACAAAATGAGGGTGGGGTTGCAGCGAAGTAACGAGTTAAAAACCGTAGCCTAGAAATATCTACCCCTTAGATCCGTTCAATCTTTTTTTAAATCAAGGGCGAGTCTTCAGAGAGTCTTCAGAGAGTCTTCGCCTCTTTCTCAGTCAGCAAGATAGCTATTTTCGTGTCTCGTCAATTAATTTCGACACTGGCTTCGGTTCAAACGGTAAGTTTTCCTGTGTTACACCACCTAACGTTGATCGGAAAATCTGGAATTTTAAAGCAAAAAGAAAGCTGACCTAAATATGTCGTTGTTACTGACATTACTGCGATTTTTCCAAAGATTTTCTAAAGAAAATGAGAAATTACACATTAATCTTCGCAATTTTTTGGCGGCAACCACGCGATTTTCCAGCAGTTTTTGTGAGAACATTAAAAATCACGCCAATTCTCCTAATTTTCGCGGCATACACGCGAATGCTCAGCGATCGATGAAAAATATATGGGATCGCACAATTTTCACCCAATAGTGCTTGAAACTCGGCATGAAGTCTTAGCAGCCATCTGGCGTGTAACTCTTTTTCTTAGGGGCCAAAATGAGAAATTGTCTTTTCGAAATACATCGAGTCAGGATCACCCTATTGATTAGTAATGTTAGGAGAAGACCCGATTTGTCACGATACTTGACGAAGACGGAGGGGAAGAATTGATAACATGACAGATAACACCTTGCAGCATGCGCCGAAAAATCCCAAAAGACGGAGTTCAACGACGATTTTCTTAGCGGTTACATTTTTTAGGGGCCAAAGGCGATTTCTTACCGGCAAATTGCTGTTTGGCAGGCGTGTGTTTTAAACACTGTTTTCACCTCAACACGAGGTCTGTTATTAGAAACCGGATTTTGGTCATAACTAGCCCACAATGCGTCCAAATTACGTTTTCTTGAGCTTTTCTGATAGGTGAAAATATATTCAAGAACGCTACGTTCACAAATTTGACAAATCCTAATTGGCTTCGTTGGTATGTGGCTTAAAGTAAGGCAACCTCAAGGGTGTTTTGCGACTTTTATGTTTGACCGAACTTGTCTCTCTTTTTTCGGTCTTGCACTACATTTTTCAACCCACAAGGACGATTGGAGTTTCGTCTCCATATCGTAGCCGTACACTAAAGTATTGTCACCGAAAATGATCCTATCCAAAAATGTAGGATCATTGTTAGAACGTTCAAGCAGCTAAAGGGACATTGACATTTGGTTGGATTTTCGTTCAACGGACAACAATCAAGGGGCAAGTATACCTGAAACTCGATTCGTGTCTACATACTCTATCAAAATTGTATGTACAGAGCCTTCAGAAATATTACACTGCTCAAAAAGCTCGGAACGACCATTTTCGAGCACTTTTGCCCGCACTTCTTCCACGTGACAAATGTCAGTTGCCGTTGAGGGTAGATTCCCATGCTCCTCATCTTTGACAAATTCCTGACCAGTTTTGAATCGTTAAACTCATTCAAAACAGTGGGAATATCTCATACAATGATCATGGTAAACTTTACTTAGCATATACCAAAATTTTCGGTACCAGGTATACCGAGTTTAAAACAAAATTTAATGTTGAATCTTTGCTCTATTAGTGATAGCATGATGAAAATCGCAAAACGCACCTAACTTACTCGTATTCAAGATGACATAGAATAAACAATGATCAAAATAAACAAAATCTGTGAACGTAGCGTTCTTAAGTATATTTGCAGCTATCAGGAAAGCTCAAGAAAACCTAATTCGGACGCATTGTGGGCTAGTTATGACCAAAATCCGGTTTCCAATCTAACAGACCTCGTATTGCGAAAGATACACGATTTTTAGATACGCGAGCCTAATGTTAGAATGTCAGGAATATGAGATACAAAAAAACATAAGATTCTCCTATACAATAGCGCGTGATACTATGTACACTCCGGCGTCCGAATAGTTACTCAATTCATTTTCGCGTTTTAAAAAGTGAGGAGTTACGCACATTCCATCTCAATATCCCGAAAAGTACGCAATATTCCCAGCGGATTCGATAAATCCTGGACAATTACGAGCTTTTCATCTCGGTATGGTGGGAAATGCAAGATTTTTCCAGAATTTGTTTGGAGGGAAAAGAGAAATTACGTTTTTATCACCGCATTATTGCGGCAACTTATACGTGCTATTAATATCACAAATTTTTTCACGGAAAATAAAATATATTCAAAACATTTCTTGATAACCTTTTATTTGAATTTTGCTCTTTCCGATATTTGATTAAGTATATTTTAATTTTGCCTATGTAGCGCTTACCTAATATTGAGCTCTATTCCAGAAGTAATATAAATTTTATCTCAGTAAAAGGTAAGCACTCAAAAGGCGAAATTAAAATATATTTATCGAAACAGATTCTTTGATACTGATACAACGCTAACTCGCTGAATACGAATTAAATTTCAGCTATAGGCTGTTGAATTCGATTTAGGAAAGTGAATATTGATCGAATGAAAAATACAACCGGATAAACCTTTTGATTTGCCTCATGCTAAGCTAAAGGCTCTAAGATTTGTCCTGTGTACGATAACTTCGCAAAGGCGCCGGCGTACCGCGGCACTTCGAGCTACTATTTCGCCACAATAGTGTTTCACGGGACCATATGAGATTGAAGTCACACCAACATATCATTATTGATGGCATCGAAAGCACGAGGTTCCCTCGCAAATTAATCGTAGATTGAGTGACGACGACAAAAAGAGAACGGTATTTGAAAAATATACTAAGTCCTAGTATCTGTATTTAATAACGTTTAGCATGATTTTTGAGCTGCACTAGAGGAGAAAGTGACTTGATTCAAGCCGAAATATGGTCAAGTTTGCTGTTGAGAAGATTTCCGTAGAAATCAATGAAGAAAGTAATGCTTGCTTATTGTGTGAAAAAGAAAAGTCACTTACATCGAACAGAAAACCGCTTTCGTTGAGCTATTTTATTCTAGTTTCAAAATAAAATCTTCTTGGCGGCATACTCAAGAATGTTTCTGCCTAAATCGAGTCACTTTTTTCTCTAATGAAATTAAAATGTTATTCTAATTATTATTAAATGAGGATGCTAGGACTTAGTGAGTTTTTGGACCACCGTTATCTTTTTGTGCCGTAGTATCTTGATTTATTTTGCGGAGAAAGCTGCGTATTCTTAAACGATGCCCGTCATTCTTAATATGTTGGGGCGCCTTCAATTTCGAATGATACTAAGCAACACCTCTGTTGTGAAATAGTTGCTTGAGGCTCCGTGCCGCACGGTGGATCGAGTCAATGGTAGAGGTCGGTCATGGGCGACGAAAAAAAAGTCGGATTTTAAATATTTTTTCTTGGTTTTTTGGTAGTTAAGCTTCCAAAATGAATATATCCATGGTTCAAGGGTCTTTGAACCCTTCCGCTTTGACATGCGGGTTGCCTAAAGCTGACATTGCAGGTGGTTTTGCCGTCTGATTCTCAAGGTTTTATTTCGCTTTTGCATGAGTTCTGTGGCAGATAAATCAAAAATTCAATTAAACATGCTTATTCTCCTCCCTTTAAGGAATATTTTGGTATATCATTAATGTGCATTGGCATATTTTTAGAAGGACCAAAACCACCTCCAAAACTTGCGTTAAAAAAACGCTCAAAAAAATGTTAAGCTAGCTCGATAAAAAAATGTCCACGAGTGTCCGCAAAATCCATTGTTGGGTTGCTTCTTGTACACTATGAGGGGTACACACTAAGAGGGGTCGGTCATCGCGCATCACGCGTCTTATTTTCTCTAATTACAGAGATTTCCCGCCCTTAAAATAGAGCAAATTTCCGTACTCCGGTGTATTTTTCGTTGTAGATTCCATTTTTGAGCATATTTCAGCCGAATAACGAGTTTTAATACGATTTTGACACACTTTTTCACGACTTTTGAAAATGGGATCCTTGATAGCTTTATTTTTCACGTTATATGTACTTTCGGCGAAAGTAACGGCGAAGACGCGTGATGCGCGATGACCGACCCCTCCCATTGACTCGATCCACCGTGTACCGTGGCACTCTACGCACTACGCACTACAAACCTAAGTGGATACTTCAAGCATTGCGCAATGCGTGAAGTATCCCTTTAGGTTTGTAGGCGCTAGTGCGCGTTTTGTGCTGGCAGCACGCGCCGCACATTGTGTCAAAACCCCAATCTAGCTGCTCAAAACCTCTTTACGTCTCTTTTGTTCGGATAACCACCTAATTTTGCACAGGCGTTAGTGTAAGCTTGAAGAGGGTTCACCTAAAATTTCAAAACTTAGTCATCAAAAGTTTCAAAATGGCGGCCATCTAAAAATCCTGTTCAACTCATGTAAAAATCTTAAAAATTTCAACTAATTTTCAGGCGCCATATTTGACCTCGACCTTTCGATTTTTATGCATCCTCATCTGGAGAATGTTAGGGGTTGTCAGACCCAAGTCTACGCGCCTTCGTTGCTTGATGATACTTCACGCACTACCACGGAGTTAGTTAAGTTGCGTGATCTAACCTAACCCAACACAACTATATATCGCCAGGCATTGCTCATTTCCTCGCGCCTTCATTGCTTCATGATACATCACGCACTACCACGGAGTTAGTTTAGTCGCGTGACCTAACCTGACCCAGCACAACCATTATCGCCAGGCATTCCTCATTTCCTCGCGCCTTCATTGCTTGATGATACTTCACGCACTATCACCGTGTTAGTTTAGTTGCGTGACCTAACCTAACCCGACAGAACCATTTATCGCCCGGCGCCGGCATTGCTCATTTCCTACGAGCGAACAAAGTAAGGGATGGTGGAACGTAGCCATTTATATTGGCAACCTCTCGCAACTCTTGCCAGATACTGGACTGATTTAACTGTTACGATTTTTACCACGACTGAAACATTTAAAAGACCTAAAGTGTTAGATAATATTTTAGTATTTACGAATACTGAACTAGCTTCACTGGTTCACTACCAGACGAAATTTCGACCGAAGGTAAAAATGCACCCCGAAGAGACAGGATGACTGACGCGAAGAAAGAAAGAAAATTCTGAAACCTGAGGAAGCCCTCGGAGGGCTTTCACTGAAAAAAAATCTCGGTGTGTTTACTAGGAAAAGGTTAAAATTACCAAGATTTCAGGGTTCTATTTGATCCCAGTTTTTTCTTGGTAAAATTACCATTTATGGAATTGGTAATTTTACCGAGAAATCTCGGTAAAATTATTGAACTTTCTCGATAATTTTACTGGACATTCGTAAAAACGCCAATATATTTTATCGACTGTGGTAGAATTACCGAGATAAAATGGCAAAGTTACCGGGAATTGATTACCAATAAAAGTGGTATTCTTACCTGAAAAAAACAGTAAAAAACCGGTTTTAGGTAAGCTTACCAGCCTGTCTTGGTAAAGTTACCAATAATTGGTAAAAAAAAGTGAGATGGTAAAGGTATCAACGGACCTTGGTAAAAACGCCGAGAATTTGTTTTCAGTGTGATATGAGTATAATCGAGGCCTTTGTCCCCTCCCCCAATACCGCGAAAACGGTTTGTATATTCAGTCTTACATTTCAGTGCATTTATGGGAGGTATGGGGTCATCCAAAGGATGAAAACAACCTCAGAGGGGCCCAAAATCGGGAGATTTGTGCATGGCTCTTTGTGTTCTTTTTCAAACATATTTTCGCGCGTATGAAAATTTTTGAAACATCGGTCCAAGAATGTTAAATACGAGCAATAAATAATGTAGCCGATGCAAGCAGTCGGGAAATTATGAAAAACATGGAAAATCATGTCATTATCTCTAGCAACGTATCTCGGATGACCAGTCACAGGGTGGAATTTTTGAGTTATTTTCCTAAGCATATTTCCACACAGATGGAAATCGCACAGCGATTTAGTAAACACGCGAAATACGTCATATCGTGTGTATCACCATAATTTTGCGGCAAATACGCGTCTGTTCAGCGATTTTTGAAAAGGAGTGAGAAGTTACGCGCTTTTCAGCTGGATATCGCGGCATTCACGAACGTCAATGATTCGAGACAAAAGAAAAACTATGCTTTTCCTTCATTTCCGCGCGATAAAGCAATCCTACTCCGGTTTTGAATAATGGCTCTAAATCTCTGTTATGACCAGTGTTGTCAATAAAACATTTCAACTCAAGTTATCCGGAACAGTAAAAAAGTGTGCCATTTTTTAAAACGGTGAGAGGTTACGCGTTTTGCGTTTTACATCTCAATATCGCGCAAAATAAGAGATTTTCCCAGCAATTTTGGATTACGTGAAAAATTACGCGTCTCTCCTCTGGGTAGCGGCAAATACGAGATTTAACCAACGGTATTTTATACAGGAGTGATTGGAGTGAAGAGTTACGCGTTTTTCATCTGAATATCGCGCAAAATACACGCTTTTTCCAGCGGTTTTGTAAAATCATGAAAGCTATTCTCATCTTAATATCGTGCCAAATACGCAATTTTGCCCAGCGGTTTAATAAAAACACAAAAGAGTGCGTGTTTTCAATCTGAGTAGGTATCACGGCATTCATAAGCGTCAGTAATCTAAGACAGGCAAAAGCCAAGATCTGCCTTCATTTTCGCGTGATACCACATACCAACTCCAGAGTTCGAATAGTTGCAAGCGTAGTTTCCACATTTAGAGATAGGACCACAATTTTTCTTTTAAATGAACAATTAGCTGTTATGGATTTACTTATCATTTTGGAATGCAAGAATAAATATAATGGCTACATACCGATAAGCAGCTGGCGACATGCACTCCTGAAACAGAGAAAATAACATTCAAGTGTAAAATTGGGAACATTAGAAAAATATCAGATCAATGACAATGTGAGGATGGAGTTAGCAGCGAAATAACGAGTTATAAACCGTAGCCTAGAAATATCTAGCCTTTAGATCCGTTCGATCTTTTTTAAATCAACGGAGAGTCCTGAGAGAGTCTCCTTCTATTTTAATCAGTCGATAGCTATATTTTTGTTTCTCGTCAATTAATTTCGATACTGGCTTCGGATCAAACAGTAAGTTTTCCTGTGTTACACCTAAGGTTCTTCGGAAAATCTGGAAGTTTTAAGAAAAAAGAAAGCTGACCTAAATATGTTGTTGTTTTTGTTACTGACTTTCTGGCGATTTTTCCGAAGATTTTCCTGGGAAAATGAGAAATTGCACATTAATCTTCGCAATTATTTCCCGGCAACCGCCCGATTCCCCAGCAGTTTTGTAAGAATATCAAAAATTACGCTAATTCTCCTAATTTTCGCGGCATACACGCGAATCCCCAGCGGTTGATGAAAAACATATAGGATCGCACAATTTTCACCCAGTAGTGCTTGAAACTCGGCATGGAGTCTTAGCAGCCATCTGGCCTGCAACTTGTTTCTTAGGGGCCAAAATGAGAAATTGTCCTTTCGAAATGCAGCGAGTCAGCAATACCCTATTGAATAGTAATGTTAGGACAAGACCCGATGTATCACGATACTTGACGAAGACGGATGGGCAGAATTGATAACACGACAGATAACACCTTGCAGAATGCGCCGAAAAATCCTACAAACGGAGTTTAACAACGATTTTCTTAGCGGTTTTATTTCTTAGCGCCCAAAGGCGATTTACTACCGGCAAATTGCTGTTGGGCCGGCGTGTGTTAAAAACACTGTTTTCGCCTCAATATTGCGAAAGATACACGATTTTTATAAACGCGAGCAAAATGTTAGAATGTCAGGAATATGAGATACGTAAAAGCATAAGATTCTCCTGCAATAGCGCGTGATACCATACATATACACTCCGGCGTCCGAATAGTTACTCTCTTCATTTCCGCCTCTTAAAAAGTGAGAAGTTACGCAAATTCCATCTCAACATCCCGAAACGTACGCAATATTCCCAGCGGATTCGATAAATCCTGGACAATTACGCGCTTTTCATCTCGGTATGGTGGGAAATGCAAGATTTTTCCAGAATTTGTTTGGAGGGAAAAGAGAAATTACGCGATAATCACCGTATTTTTGCGGCAACTACGCATTATCAATATCACACATTTTTTTACGGAAAATAAAATCAATTCAAGATAAATTCTTGATAACTTTTAATTGGAATTTTGCACTCTTCGATATTTGATTAAGTACATTTAATTTTGCCTTTGTAACGCTTACTTAATATTGAGCTCTATTCCAAAAGTAAAATGAATTTCGGAATAAATATCAGTATTAGGTAAACACTCAAATAGCGAAATTAAAATATATTTATCTAACCAGATTCCTTGATACTTACGCAACGCTAACTTGCTGAATTCAAATTAAATTTCAGCTTTAGACTTTGAAATTCGATTGAGGAAAATGAATATTGATCGAATCATAAAACAACAAATTGAAAATATAATTTTAAGTACGTACCAGGAGAGGGTTATCCAATTGCCCGACGCCACGCTGAAAGCACTCATAACACTGTCACTAAACCTGAACTAAAAAACTTGGCCATGAGAAGATTTGAGATATTAAAGATATAGTGTGGAAATGTGCACAGGTTTACTGTGAGCTGCACAAAATGTACGAATTTACTGTTCTGATTTAAATTCTGCCCATGTTAGGTGTGTACAATTTATGTAGTTATACAAAGCAAAAAAATAAAATAAAATAAAATAAAAGTGAAAATGATCGATGATTTTGTATAAACGACCAATTTACTCAGAGAATACACGCATGACACTTCATAGAGACTTCTTTTAAATCCTTGCTTATGTCAGTGGACACAAATGCAGCGATATAGTAATATAGATTACTTCCCGAAAAATGTTTCGTGAGACTATTATTCGTCGCGTGGTCCAACAGTCTCAACGTAGATGCATTGTTGTCAACTTAATGCTACATATTTCTAGACGCTTGACTTCAAACAATTTAAATGAATGTTTCCATTATCTTTAAGCGCTGTCGTTTAACTAATTCATCTACATTTGGATAAAATATTTTGGAATACGTATAATTTTGTCACTGGTCCGATTTTTATTTGAATAATGAGACGTGATTTCTCTCGCCAGTAGAATAATATTTCAAAAATGTTTTCGGCTCAATTATTTATAGATCTAAATCCTAGGGTATTTCCATGAGGAGTAGCGGAACAATTCAATTACTACATGTTAAGCACAGCTTTTATCTTCGGATTATTATTCTTCTCCGATGTCTCTCATCACAAAAAAGGTACTCTCAACTTAATTCATAGATCTCCGAAGTTAGCTTGTCTCAGCTCAAGGTATAAGTGCTGTCGCTCTAACTAATTCATCTACATTCGGATAAAAGCGGGTCTAGATTTTGAAACGCGTGACAAATTATTCGTCTCCAATTTCTCTCATCACAAAAAAAGCAAAAGGTACCTACTCTCGGCTTAACTCATTAATCTCCGCAGTACTCTTGTCTGCTCAAAAAAGTAACTCAAAAAAGTACAGGAATTGTAAGTGCTGTCGGCTCAACTTATTTATTTACATGCTGATAATATCGGGTAAAGACCACGAATAGCGTGAACTTTCATCACTGAACGGAACTATTCCATTTGAAAAACTTGGACTATTCTCTAATTTCTATCATCATCAGTGAAGTAAATCTGAACGTATTTTCCACTCAATTTATAGATTTGAATGCTAGTGTGTTTCTATTAAGAGTCGCAAGCACAATTCAATCACTATATGCACGGCATGGAGGAAATGTATTGGACGACAATTCTTGAAACCCACGACATAGCTCCTCTTTCGGATTAGAATAAATTCCTCCACTTGTTCTCATCACAAAAAAACTAAACATACTCTCCGTTCCACTCATAAAACTAAGTTCTCTTGACTCAACTCAAAAATCTACTAATTGTAAGTGCTATCCGCTCAACTCATTCATATGCATAAGGATAAAGTTTAGATAGTGTATAGCGTTTTCTTCAGTCATTGAACGTTTTTAAAATTCCCATATTTTAAGAAATATCTGACTTTCTCAAATTGTTCTAACAAGCAAAATAAAATTTAAAGAAGTATTTCAGACTCAACTCATAAACCTGAATGCTAGTATCTTTCGATAAGGAGTAGCGAGAAATTTACTCACTGTGCGTATGTTCGTCTCCGATTCCTCTCGTCAAAGAAAAATTAAAAAACGAAAGGTCCTCACTATTGGCTTAATTCATGGATCAACTAATGATGGATTTCGTCTCATTACCAAGTGCAGTCGTCTCAACTCATGAAACTACATGCTCATAATCGGGTTCAGAATGTAAACAGAGTAAAGGCCCGTTACTGAACAGTCCAGTTTTTACTTCAGAAGCCTTGTGAATTCTTTTCCCATTTTGCTCATTTGCAAAATGAAAATTAGGAACTACATTCGACTTGACTAATTAATCTGAATTTTAAAGTGTTTTAATTATGAATATTACACATTTTTGTCACTAGTTGCTGCAGTTTCTGTCGAATGCGTTTACATTCTCCTCTCGCGTCTCTTGAATAAAACAAAAAATTAATAAATGATAACATACGAAAAAACGCATTATGTTTACTTCCGTCTTCACTCATATGTTTACTTTCGACTGGACTCATGAATCGGCACGCTTATCATAAACAGCATGTCCAGGCTTACATCTGAACTCATTTTTTGACTCACCTAAACGTTGAAGTAGCTACCAAGTCTTCTAAAATTTCTGTCTCATCTTTTAAGTGCGTTTGACTGAACTTGTTTCGCAAAAAAACAAATTAGCTCCATGCTCTCAACTAAACTCAAAGAACTACTTTGATGACGATACGCTTACGTTTGGCAGAAACAGTCTTAAAAATTAGTTTCGAAAAACATAATTCGAAGTAATTGTCAGACCTAACGGAATATCCTGGTAGGCTCCAAATTGAAAATTAACAATTAATTCCAGGCAAATTATCTTCCGTGAGAAGTAAGCACGAGGATTCAACCTGTACCAAACTTGGAAACGCCCAAACGTTAGGAAGAAATATCTATATAATTTTCAGATGTTCCCTCCAAATATTCGGTCTATTCGACAAATTGGCGGAGGGACCACTACTATTCACTCAAGGTTTCCGAAGTGAAAGAAGTGCTTGAAATAAAAAAAAAAAAAAATTTGATTGTGGGTGAGGGGGGAAAACTAGGGAATAAAAAGAACACAAATGGGCACGACAAGATAGAGACGAAGAAGTTAATTTAAGGTTGCTTCTACTTAAGACAAAGACGAATTTGAAATAAATAGGAAATATAAGAAACAAGAGGAGGAAAGGAACGATATTATTAACACCCAAAAATTGTACGCAAAAATGTACTTAAATCGCAAATCCCCCACACGTGCAAGAACTCTATTGTTGCTCTCCACCATAAACCATTCAACATTCACACGCTTCCTAACCAGCCATTCAAACAATCACACGCACACGAACTCACCACCACACAATCACGCTCTTATTTTCTCTCTGCCTAACCCTAAGCTTAACCTAAACCTAAGCCTAACCTAAACTAAACCCACCCACCCACTCCCATTCTATTTCCCATGACCTCAAGCCCGGCCCGAAATAATGGAGCTCTTGCGTGTGTCAAGAATTTGCGATTGAAGAACTGATTCCTATGTAAAATTTCGCGAGAAGCACGATGATGCTACTGGTTTCCTCTAAAACAAACTCTGAAACTCAGTAAAAGCTCTTAAAGTTGAGGCCGTAAAGAAGGGGATATCCCACGCTACGCTGAGAGTCTACATCTATACCTAGTGAAACTCTCCATGCAAAGATAAGAGCAAATACACTAACAGGGTTGCTGTGTTCTCAGTTTTCGAGTCCCCACACAAAGTGGCAACCCTGCTAATATATTTGCTCCCTATCTTTGATGGAGAGGTTGAATAGGTATAGAGGTGGACTCTCAGCGTAGCGTGGGTTGTTATCCCCCTCTTTACGGCCTGAACTCTAAGAGCTTTTACTGAGTTTTGGAGTTTGTTTTGGAGAAAACCAGTGGCATCATCGTATTTCTCGCAAAATTTTATTTAGGATAATGTACTTAAATCGCAAATCCCCTACATATGCAAAGGCTCAATTACAGTCCGCCCTCCTGTGGGCATACAAGTTGGACATAGTGATAATTCGGACTTTTTCGGGCGAACCGAGCATTGCAACTTCGGATACCGAAAGCTCACCGGGATATGGTTCCCATTGTGTCTAGAAAGAGCCTTTACCTATCGGTCGGACCTTTGCCATTGTGGCCTACTGGTAGACAAAAATTTCCCACCAATTTTCTTTATCGTTTGTGAATTTTTCCCTCATTTCAACGGATTAGGATTCAGCTTGCAATCCTGATGAAAAATGTAAAGAATCGTAGGTAAGTATATAATAGCAAGTTATCATATCACAAAACGTGCTGAAGGAATTCGCAAATTTTGTGATACAATAACTTATCATTAAACCTACCTACAACTATTAACAAGTTTCATCAGAATTGCAAGCTGAATCCTAATCCTTTTAAATGAAGGAATAAATTACAAAGGATAATTATAATTGGTTGGCATTTTATGTCTACCAGTAGACCACGATGACAAGGGTCTGGCCGCTATAGGGAAAGACTCAGTGTGTGCACAATGGGAACAGAATCCTGATGAGCTATTGGGATCCGTAATTGTAATTCTCGGTTCACCCGAAAATGTCCGAATTTGTTTTATGTCCAACTTATTTGCCCAGACTATTCCCTACCCGGAGTTAACTAAGACTAAATCCTGTAAAAGAAAAAAACTGAGCCCACCGGTGCCCACCCCTTATCCCTCCTAGCCTCCCCCCTAATCCCACCCTACACCCCATACCCACCAAACCCCCAGCCCCCTACGTTGCCCATCCTAACCTACCCTAAGCTAACCAACCCCCGTCAAGTCACAAGTCAGTCGGCCACGGGAAAAAAAATTCGGATCCGAAACACAAAATGGGGGTAAGAAAGCATTACGTTACGTCTCTTGCGCTCCGTAACTGCCTTAACGGTAGTTACGAGACGCAGGAGTGCTAACGTAACGCCTCCACCTACCCTCTTGTGTCGCGAACCCGAACTCGTTTTTCCCGTGGCACATTAACCACCCTCGAGTAAAAATGATGGCACGGCTTTTACAAGCATTGAAAGCTAACCCAAGGTCATCGACCAAGGGTTGCTGCAGGTGCAGGACCGCCGTCCACGGCAGGGTTGTTGGCGGTCGGGCGGGTCCGCAGACGTCTCCTTCTAGCGCGTGCCACGCGGTCCGACCGGGGTTGGGGAGACGACCCGCATGACGTTCCCTCGAGCACTCCATCCTAGCTAGATCGGTAGAATGCAGTGGCGTGGCGTGCTTTGCGATATATCGATTGTTATGCCATATAAACCTATGGTAAAGGATCGATTAACAGGGTGCTCGAAGCGAACACCCTAATAATCGATTCTTTACCATAGGTTTGAATGACAGAACAATCGATATATCGCAATTCACGCCATCACT